AAGCTTGCGTCATCATTCGAGTGACGAACGATTCGCGCTTGCGTCGTCAGAGATATATTAGTATTCGCTCCATCATTGAGTGACGAACGATTCATGCTTGCGTCATCATTCGAGTGACGAACGATTTGCACTTGTGTCATCAGAGATATATTAGTATTTGCTCCATCATTCGAGTGACGAACGATTCATGCTTGTGTCATCATTCAAGTGACGAACGATTCACGCTTGCGTCGTCAGTGTCGTGATATATATATTTTATGACACATTTTTGACGACAGAAATGCGACACCGTCATCAGTGTCTAAACTTGAAGAGTCATGATTCGGAGAATTGCCTAGGCACGCAAGTGCCATTGTTCCACAATACGGCTTGCAAAGCAATAGAGTATATTGCGAAAAAATGCTATCGATAATGCTATCATGTATATCCTATCGGGTACGCTATATACACGCTATCTGGCCATGATATATACACGATATCTGGTTATGCTATCATATATATGCTATCAGTTAGATATATATTCGAGAGCCTGATATGAAACAAGTGACAAAAAAAGTAAGTATATATGTAAGAAGGTGGATATATAACATCATTTTTTACTATGAATAAATCTGAAGTTTCCTACCGCGACATATACCCAAAACATATCGAAAACATATTATTAAAAAGTGAAGTGTTCTTCCATATTTATTATATATTATTTCTGAAGATTACTTCACCTTGGCCTACCTGAAAACATGTCATCAAAAAGTGAAGTGTTCTTCCATATTCTCTACTATGTAGAGTTACCGAAGATTACTTCACCTTGACCTCCCTAAAAACACATTATTGATCATATACCCGAAAACATACCATTAAGCATATACCATATCGGATGAAGTGTTCTTCCATTTTATATATAATATATTTCTGAAGATTACTTCATTTTACCTATCCCGAAAGCATACCCAATCATACCAATCAAGATGAGGTGATCTTCTATATTTTATATATAAGGTCTTGCCCATGCTTCGCATAATAAATCGGCTCGATGCATTTTTTTGATATCGCTATGTACCAACTGAAAAAATTAATTTAAACTTTTCCAAACTATATTGTAATAATATAATCGAACAAAGATTGATACATACAAATAAAAAAAACCAAATACCAAAAATGAGTGAACAAAGCGCACAACTCGAGCGGTACGGGGGCGGGGAAACCGATGACTATTCAAGTGATATGGACGAGAAAAAAATATAACATACTCCAAGAGAGATTTTGCTCTTTACAATTAGTCAATAAATTTTTTAGTATTTTTACTTCGCTTACCCTAACTATATATAAAACACAAATCGAAAGTATGATTTCTATTTTGACTACATTGTTTACCCTAATCAATCCAGCGTAATACTTTATTTTAAAATTTGGAAAGAGAACTACAAATATGCGGATTTTCGTTTTGCAAGCAGCTTCTTGCGATTCCATTACTTGAAATCACAAGAAAAGTAATCAGATATTTTTCTTAAAAGGGGAAACTTTATTTTCTCTCTTTGAGCAAGTATTGCGGAAAGTCGGTGGTATCGGTAGATAATTTAGAGGTAATCCCATCTAAGAAAATTTTTATTAATACTGGGAAAATACATAGTGAGTAAATATATGTTGGAGATGCGTCCAGTTGACTAGATAAATTTTTCTTGGATATTGGTCATCACCATCCACATAAGAAGCGACTTTGAATGAATTCGGTTATTATATTCTGATCTACAGCTGATTTATCTTGATCATTAATGGTTGTTGCAAAAATTTTTGACCATATTATACATCGATAATAGAAAAAATAAATTCATGCAAAAGTAAACGTAATTATATGTGAAATTTTTCCAAATCTGAATTGTGGGAGATCTGATCTTAAGGTTTTATTATCTATAAAATCAGTGATAATATTTTCCATATTGTTGTGCCAATTTTTAGTGATTAATCGGGGTTTTTATATTAATATCTGACGCTGACTTAGTCAAAAATTCTAGGAATATGTTAAAGAAATTCATAACTGATTGAGGAACATTTACGGGATACGGATAATCATAATCTCCATAAATAATTGGATTTTTAATGTCTGGTTGATCTATCAAAAGATTTTAACTAGTCATTGGTATTTTTTTGAATATAGACAATCATTGAATGCTTCATAAACTTCTATGTAAAAGTATTTCTTATCCATTGCACATATGCATATTAGATTCCACGAAATGGCACTCTATCTGAGTGGTTTCGCTATTAGTACCATTATTCCCCCCTTCGGATACCCTTTAACTTCTAGCTTCGGAACATTTAAGAATTCAATCACGATCTATTTACTTTGATCTTTATTATTTATTAATCGAGAATTGATCATGAGGAATGGAAAGTTTTTCTTCCAAATTCACAAGTTTTCTTTCGTTATTAATCTTTTCTTTACTTTGGTGTGAACAATATTATTCAGAAGACAAAAACTAAATCCATTGAATCGGATAACATATTATGCATAGTTGGTTTTAAATTAATTTGGAATCTAGATCAAAATTTATTAATTAATAATCATTATATACTTTCGTTAACAAGCAAAGATAACTTTTTCTGTCACTCTTGTCAGTTGCATGATACATTATTGACCATTTATCTGCTTTATATAACATGCTAAGAAATTATACATTATTTGTAAAAATTATTGTTATATTTTGCGATAATTGTGTTCGATAATGATACATGTATCAGAATAAGTATCTTAATTATATTTAATAGTTGCCTATTTTGATAGATGTTAGGTATTCATTTTGGTAAAGATCTCCAGTTATCATATGTCACTCATTTATTAACTGTCGATAACAGAACTTTCTTGTGATAAGATAGTTATTATTTATCTGCTAACAAAATCGTTATCTGACTTATATAATGGACAATATAACTAGAGGTAAATGCTTTGTTAAACAGAGAGTTATATTAACTGCTTATATTTAATCATCAATCGTTTGTTAACGGCATATGATAACTAGCAATTGTCAGAATATATTAGATAACAAAAGTATTCGATAACCCGTGTTATCAGGCTGTTATAGAATCGAAATTCACTGTATTATTTATTGTTCTCGATATATAACAGCATACAATCAGTCATGAAGTGTCCCACTCTACAGACTATATAACAACAGTGACAAATGATAGTATAATTTTTTCTTTGTTATCTGCTACGATAACCGACTATGTAACGACAACCAATAACGAACGATTGTGTTTGAATTATAGAGTTGTTTATCAGAAAGTATATTAGGTCTAATAAAATCAAACAATTTTTAGATTAATATGAACAGAACTAATTTAGAATGTATAACAGATTCTCGTAAATAACTATCTCAAATCAATATGTCTTCAGACTCGAAGAATCACGATTCAAGAAGTAAAGCCCGAATTTTCATTTTCTTGGCAAAAGTGATCGGCGTTACAAATTGTAACGCACGTGTAATTTTTTATTACGAAAATCAAGACATATTTTTCGTAGTTAAAATAAATGGAACACTATTTGTTTTTAAATTTAACATATAAATTTTTGGATTCGTTGACTAAAGATTTTTGTTTTGGTTCAAAATAAGTTTCCCGGGTATAATTGATTTTGCAGTGATTTGACCTTTCGATATTTTCGGAATGTAGAAGTTTGGTAATCTTATTTTCGCTTGAATTCTGAAGTAAATGTTTTGCTTTTTTGATGACTTTCTCCTATTATCCATTGAGTCCTCATAAGCATTTTATAATCGCTAAGCATAGGACTTCAAAAAAGATCAAATTTGCCTACCTTAAAACAATAAAAAACCTCTAATGTTTGTCTTAAGACACCAATACTACAAATCTGTGCGGGAAACCTAAAAGCTGGTCCATCAAATCCAAAATAAAGTCCTTCATCCAATAAATCAATTCCAATTAATTGACCTTCCAAAGCTAAAACATATATTATTAGAGACGTGAAAATGATAAATTCTAAGAAATATGCATAACGCGTGATATTTAATGATGCTGTGATTTTACCTGCCAACTGTAACCCGAAAATTGCTGTATCTTCTAAAGTTTCATCAAGAATATTGTTTTCAAGGTAGTTGTTGAGTATACATTTATTAGTTCTCAGAGATTTACTGCGGTCTTTTAAAATTTTTATAAACGTAGCTTCCCGAGCACATTCGGAATGGCTCAACTCTTTGGTGCCATCCTCAGTTCTTATACAAAGATCAATCTTTCTTCTTGAATCATTAGTGACTTGTGAAACTGATTCTCCCCTGAAAAATTCGTAAAACAATTTGTCAGATCCACAATTGATAACCGTTTCCAAGTTAATAAAAATATTTACCATATCAATCTAACATGATCTCGTTGATCTGAGAATATTATGTCTAAAATAGGGCCTGATAAAATTGTTACATATTGGATTTCTGTATGGTTTTGGGGCCGACCATCTCTTTTGATGAAAATATAGGGATTTTCTAAAAATAAATCAATGCTAAAAAAATAAAGTTTCAAATTAATTTGGTGAATAGCAAATCAAAAAAAAGGATCACAAAATATATATACAGTATATAATAACATACATATTAAAATATATTTTAGAAACTTGTCTCATTTGACTATCAATGGGTCGTTCCATTACTTTTTCTAATACAAGTTTTCGTGCCCCCAAATAGTCATATGAATCACATAGCTAAATGTATAATGTAGTGAAAAGCATAAGAATTGTTATCACATTCGGTAATAATAATTTCGACAGATAATATAATTTATTTACATTTTCTACTTTTGTGATTAATTCTGATACTTCTCCTGTGAACCTTTCAACTTTCAAGTTGATTTTTGATAACACTTCATTCTTTAATGGTATCCAATTGTCCCCGAACCAGGAGTGCATGCCTCCTTTGAATTCCGACGAAAGATCTATGATGGATGACAGTCCCAACCTGTACATACGTTTATCAAGTAATTAATAAATTAAAGTATTATCAATAATAATATTATTATCATATTTTACCTTATAACACTCATTAGTTTCGAGTCTACTTTTTCAGTTTTTTTTGCTTCTTCAATCGCTTCTTTTGTCATATTTATAAGCCGACCTCTTACGCTTTCATTATTTTTTAATTTCCAATTATAATTTTTGTTATCAGTTTTTGAACCAACAAAAGAATTAAATGACATATTTGCAAGTTCGGCTGTATCTTCTTCTTCAGAACTGCCATCTAAAGAATTTTCTTCATCATCGTCCTCATAGATAGATGATATCTCAGAATTTAATTCGCCCTATGAAAATTTTAGATTAAACATAATTTTTTAATCAGATCCATAATATATTTTTTTTATTGCTTACAACTATCTTTTCCTCCAGATGATCCAAATCTAACTCGTCAGCTGATGAAGTGTTTTCAGCATAATTTTTTCTCTCAATCTTTCTAAGATTATGCTTGATTGAAGGGACGATCTCTTTTTTGTCATTGTTGCCATCGTCCAAGGCCTAAATTATAAAAACAATAAATTTACTGCACATGATGAGATAAAAACATAATGGAAAAATAATTTTACGGGAGTTAGTAGTAGTTCATTGGTGCTTTGACAGATTTTTTTGGAAATCTTTTCATCCTAAAAATATTGAAATAAAAATAATTAGTTCTGTCAATTCCCAGGCTATAGTTAAAGAAAATGTATTTACTCACATGTTTCAAATCATTTTCATCTAATGTATCTACTTCCAAAAATCTCTTTCTTGTTCTCTCATTTCGACTTGCTGTCCACTCGACCTATTTAGAAGTTGTTCTGCTTTAAGTGAATCTATTTCAATACTTTCGCAAACACGCCCATTTCAACTAACCTGAGATAGAGAGTCTTTAGCCATAACTAATTTTTCAAGTTTTTTGGTGTTCTTAAGTTCCATTTGTGTAGTAACATGTTCCCACCATTCAGAAACGTTACTCGGAATTTTAGTCTCAAAATAAAAAAATAGGAAAAGAATTAATTTAGTTTAACATTATATAACAATTTAATTTACGATGTCACTATAACTTTACAGAATAGTTGTAAAGTGGTTGTATGCTCAGGACGGCTATCCAATATGGAGCTAACCATGTCTCTGTGACGTGTGGCTACAAGAGATGTCCTGAGCCTGAGCTTCCATTAAGGCCTGTTCAGTTACAACATTTACTGCATACTCAAGACGGCTATCCAATATGGAGCTAGCCATGTCTCTATAACGTGTGGCTATAGAGATGTCTTGCGCCTGAACTTCCGTTAAGGCCTGTTCAGTTGCAGTTCACTTCTTTTATCTGACATAAATAAACTTACCAAATTTTTTCGTTGATAATTTACAGACTTTAATGCAGTTTTGGCAAAAGATTTCAAGTGGTCCTGGTCATTGGTTGTCGCCTGCTCCAAAAAGCTCTTACACCGAGATCTAACAATTTCTAGAGATTTCTTAAATAGACCATGCCATTTTCCTTTTCGTTCTTGGATTGGTAAATTTGTGTGAACTAGTTTATACTCCTTTTCATTCAGCCATTTAAGGAAGTCAAGCTCTTTCCATTCGTTTGGCTTCTTTTCAATAAAGTATTCGGAAAAATCTGTAAATGTCGATGTGAACACAATCAGAATAACTGTAAATGATGTATGAATGATAAAGCTTTTAGACATACCGAAGGCTTCTTTTGAGAATAACTCTTCCGCAGAGTTCGTCATTTTAGTGGAGCGATTGATTTAATGAATGCGTAAAAAGTTAATCTCTAATTGATCGATTTTATCAGTCTGTTTTCCATATTTGGGGATGCGTATTTTCACGTGATCGAGTGTAACGTAAACAATTAGTCTTGGCTCTTTAGCGTGTTCAAATTTTTTGCGTAAAAAATCAAATCACATGAAAACTACCTTGCTTTAGCGTTCCCCATATTTGGGTTTTGTACATGTACTTTTCTAACATGATCTTTTCGCGTATTGTGGCGGAATTTCGTGTGGTCCATGCTATGCGAATGTATATGAGTTATAATTCGGAAAATGCCAGAAATTATTAAATGCATAAACTAGATAACATAACCATACCCTGGCTTCGAGCTTGCCAAAGTCAGAGGATAAATAAACTTTTGAATACAACTAGTTTCTATATAAAAATGGCAAGCGTACAATCCACAATTGACTCATTGAAGGAATTGAATTCCAGGCTTATAGCCGAAATTGATAAACTTAGAAAAGAGAATGCTGAAATTACTAGACTCAGAAAGGAAAATGCCGAAATTCTCGAGCTTGGAAAGGAGAAGAATTCGCTTATAAATAAAAATGTTGAGCTCTTGGCCAGGATCGTGGAGTTAGAACAATCCGCAAAAGAAAATGCTGAAAATGCGAAGTTAAGAGATTCTGAACTCAATGAGCTTAGATCCAGAATTTCAAAATTGGAACAGAAGAAATTGCAAAACGACGAAGTAAAGAGCAACTTTAGTGTTAAATCAGATGATGATACTGAGGGAATTAATCAATCTTCAGTTAATACCACCTCTACCAAAATGGAAAATTCTAACGATACTCCGGCATCTAATATATCTGATAATACTTCAAATTCTGATGTTGCTCCCGAACAAATAGAAAATAGTTCCAATAACACACCCGATTCTGACATATACAAGGAAAAAGATAGCCGATCTTTCACATCTCTTATTTCTATAGAAATTTTATCATCGGAAGGGGAAAGGGTTGTTAATATGGCAAGGGAAAGAAATAGGGAAAAGAAGATTCGCCAAGGGCAACAATTGGTACAAAAAACATCTTCCTCTTCTGATACACAAAATGCAATTTCTACTGAGATAAATCCTATTATCGAAATTACCCATGATCATAAAACTACCCGATTAGAATTAATACCTACTGATCAAGCACAAAATACTGGGGACGACGTAAGTTGCTTTGCGAAGCATATAAAAATTCCATATAATAGAAGGGTAGAGCAAGACTTAAGGCATGGCTTATCTGTGTTCATTAAAGAGAATAATAATAAAGTTAGTGAAGTATTTGATATACAAATTCCTGAATTCTCGCTAGAAGCAATCGTAACAGGATCTAGCAAAATTACAGCACAAAATATAGCCGATTTGTTTATTATAGCAATGAAAGTTAGACAAAAAGAGATTTTATGCTGGTATTGCTACTATAAAGCATATGAGGATCGAGTCGAGAACATTAAATGTATAAATAAAATTGATGACCAATCAGCAAGGACGTTGGTATATAATGAGATAAGAGCGCTTCTCCCAGATATCAGTGATGTGAATTTGCGTCAAAGAACATTCAGAGCAAAAAAGATCTATACGTTACTTATGGGAATAGGAATGGAAAAAATCCAAGCAATAACATGTAGTGCAAGCGCAATTTCAAGTCTAACTGACAATCAGATTCAAGATATTATAAACTGTTTTCCTAAAAATTCTAATGTAGATGATTCTTCTGTTAAATATCAAGAAATGATCAGTGTTACAAATTGTAACGCGCAAGTGATCGAACCTTCTAACACAGATGATATATCAACTACTAAATTGTCTCATACGTCTAATTCAGAAGATATAATAAGTGAGGATGACAAATCTTTATCTAATACCTCGGTAAGTGTCTCAAATACTGAAGTCTCACCTAATAATACGACTCTCATCTTTAGCCATGAAGTGACTGCCTCCAGCAATTCCTTTGATGTTGATGAGATGGGTGAGGTCAAGACACAGGTAAGCGCACCTGATAGTTCTTTATATTTTAACTCGGATCCTTTTGATGATGAAAATTCTTGTGATAGGGACACTGACTCACAGAGTGAGGATGAAGATTTCTCTGATGATAACAACGAAGATGATGGAGGATTCTATGGTTTTTCGGATGACGATGATGAAAGTTATTATTACGATCTAAATACCGGTGAAACTTATACAAAATCAGATCGTTCAATTTGCGCATATTAATGTTGATCACTTACCTTCTACGGCATATAAAATTTCGGATATAATTCTATTCCTGGTTATTCGATATGAAATTTTCATTTAGGATCGCCCGGTCCAAATTTCCTTTGATATTCTTATAATATAGATGCGTTGAAGATGTGATGAAGGTGCGATGTAGACATGATAAACTTTTTTCATATATAACCACTATGTAAATGCTAATGAAAATAAGTGTACCTAGTTGAGTCGCATTTTTTTTACAATCGATATGTGGACTGACGATCAACTACGTTTATTAATAGACGAAAGAAAAAACAAAAATACCTCGTATCATGATATTCCTGGCAGTATGCCATCGAACATGGAATAAATTTTTAATCATTACAGAGGCTGAGAAAAATAGGTGGACCACGGGATGTTTTCGTGGGGATTTGGAAAGAGATATACGTTTCTATCATGGTGGAATAGAAAGAAAAGAAGACCCTAGAA